GACCATAGGTTCTCCGTCGTACCATCCGCACTCGCAGTCGCCGCTTTGGCACCCAGCATGGCGGCGCCGTGTACGACGGCTGCATTGGTGTACCTTGGTACCAAAACCGGCATGTCGCAAATAGTGGCCATCAAGTCCATTAGCAGCGGGTTCTGGCACTGACTGCCGGACATGAAGATCGTGTTAAGCTCGTGTCCGGCCGTGTTCATCGCTTCAACGATCTGTCGAGTCTGCATGGCGATAAATTCCATCGTGCCGTAGTACCACAACGCCAGGTTATCCGTTGTCTTGTCACTGCTCAAGCCAACCACGGCACCCTTCATGTTCGGGTCTGCGACGGGTGATCTGTTACCCCACAGGTCACCATAGAGGAAGAAGTGGCGACCCAGATATGAGATCGACGGGGCACCGATCTTCTCCCGCATATATTCCAAGTGGGAGTTCAGAAACTCATAGATGTTCTTCGACTCGGCCGTAGCAAGGGCGTTTGTTTCGATGAAGGCAGGGTGGATTTCGAGAATGTGCCGGAGAAGTTCGCCGGTGGCAGACTGGCCGCCCTCGGCCATCCAGAACTCGGGGAGCAAGACGTCTCGGTACGGGCCCCAAACACCTGGCACAAAAACTGCGTCTCTGGACATGGCTAAGTGACATGTCGACGTACCAGCAACCGCCGCGAGTCGGTGGAATGCCTGAGAAAGGTCGTTCTTGGGCTGGTCTGCTTCAAGATGGCCTGGCGGAAGCTCGACCTTGGCGCCGACCGTACCAATCCAACCGGCGTATGCGTCAATAACACCACCACCGACTGCGATGCCCTCGGGGAGGCCGAGTTCAGCCGCGGCCTTCTTGCAGAGCCCGCCCACGAGCTCGCCGGCGCTCTGGTATTTTCCGTTCTGTGATAAGTCAGTCAGTCAATTGCACTTTCATCTTGATACTGAAGCAACAGAGGAGCACGGTTCAATGAAATAGGCTCACCACCCCGTTGACACCACCCAAACGCTTGAAGTCGTCCTTAACTAGGTCCTCAAGCCCAATCGTCGTCAAAAAGTCCTCTTGCCAGCCCTTGACGCTGCCGTCGACCCCAACAGGGACGTAGCCCTGCTTGCAGACGGTGCTGCAGAAACTGCGCGTCTCGTTGCCGGTGGCCATGTGGGTGAGCGCATCCGCGAGATCGTAAAACTTGCAGCGGTCAAAGAGCTCCTTTGGCATCTTGTTCTTGAGCCACAGCACCTTTGGGATTTCCATCTCGATGCTCATGGTGCCGCCAACGTATTTGAGCAGGTTGTGTTTTGTGGCGTTGATCTTCTCCGTCTCCTCGTCGGGGCGGTGGTCCAGCCAAAGGATGACATTGCGGTCGTTGCCATCAGCATTGTCAAAGTCGGGGCCCGTCACGGCGACGGGCTCGTCCGTATCGTGGCTGAAGACGGCGAGGGAACAGGTTGCGTCGAATCCGATGCCCTTAATAATCTCGGGGTCGACCTTGGATTCGACGAGGACTTGCTTCACGCAATGGCAGATGCATGCCCAGATATCCGATGTGGATTGTTCCTAACAGGGACGTTAGCGGAGCTCAGTGTCGTGCAGGGACCGACCGCTGAAGTCATGACGAGCAGAAGAAGCTCCAAGTAGGCTTACATAGTATCCCGTCTCGGGCTGCCACAGCTTGATGGGCTCGCTGGCAAGACCCTTGATGTCACCGGTCTCGTCAATAATGCATGCTCTGGCCGAACCAGTGCCAACATCGATGCCGATATAGTGGTCCTGGTAAGATACATCGTGTCAATGGTCTGGCTTCTCAAATCGTGGGAGTCGAGCTCTAATCTGGCAAGACTCACGAGCAGTTGGGGAGGCGCGGTGGATTGGACCCTACAGGTATTTGTTAGCTCTCGGGTACATCGCGGAGCTTTGGACCAGCCCAATTGCTCGATCGCAAACAGGTAGGTAGAACAATGGCCAAACTTACTCCATAGTGTACATTGACGGAAATTACTTGGAGAGCAAGCTGTTGATCACACGCTGGGGAGAAACGTGTAAACTCTTTGGCAGTTAGTAACAGAATCAAAAAAGGAAGGCAGAGAAGGTGAGAGAGAGTGAGAAAGCGTAGAGCTTTTTGGGCAACGCTGCTTTGTTGATCAACAAAATAAGGTGACGGGAGCTCTTTCTTAAAAAGAGCACCTCAACACGACTGGGTAGGAAGGCTAAGTGAGGTACACACAGAGAAAGGTCCAGTCCAGACCTCCATCATCGGCGCACACTATTTTTCCCCCGTCCTGTTCTGTGACGAAAGGGAGGGGACAGGAGCTTGCCTGCTTGCTTGATGGTGGTGGTCTTCCACCGTAAGGTACGGTAGCTTGTGTTGCGCCGAGGACCTGGACCCCTTAGGTTTTGCCCCTCCATCAAGTGGGGTAAGTTGAGGTACCTTAAGGTGAGGTGAAGTCCGGGTGCGTACAAGAGCTACCCTGCTCGGTAAGGTATAGACTGCCATTAGGTGAGCTGTACATGATGCAAGACAAGGTCGACCGGCCCCTCGGATGGCAAAAAGATTCAGCAAAAGAAGAAGAAAAACATAAGCATGTCCGGGCTTGGGATCCGCGTGCCACTGTGTAAGAGCTACAGTTCCAAGCGCTGTCCCCGGGGGCAACGCCGAGGGGATGGAGGGGCAAATCCGTCAGGTCATCAACCGACATCCGCACCACCACCATGCCCCCGCGCCCACCAAGCACACTAGAATCTTGGGATTTGCATGCTGGGGGCAAGGATGGCCTTTTGGGGTATGGTACGCTAGTGTAGACTGGCAGAGAAAAGATGACCAAGCCACCTGATGACAGTCTCGGTCCATGTTGGGAAGCACAAGCAGCAGCCTAGAGCTGGCGGGGGAGCAGATTGGCAGCACCATGCACCATGCAGGAAGGTGATGGGATGCTCGGGGAAGGTGTTGGAAAGCCGGGGAGGCCCCTGGAAGGAGTCGGCCCAGAGGTTCCAGAAGCCCAACCATTCGATTCCAGACTCCGGAGCCTGCAAGCCTCATGCTTCAAAGTCTCTGGACCACCTGGACGTCAATATCAGCTTCTCGTGTGCTCGTCTACCGTCCATCGCCTACCGTTCTGACACTCCTTTCACTTGTCCTGGGACGCAAAGAGACAAGCTGTGACTAACTCGGCTGCGCGACTGACTGAGCGCCCGTGGGAAACCACACCAAGGCCCTAGCCATGACATCTTCTCCACAAGATGGCAAAAAGGAGAGGAAAACCTGTGGTCGAGTTTTGATTCATTGCTGATGATGTCGAGACCTGAGAAAATGCAACCAAACTCAGAAATTGCCTCCAGCTGCAGTGTTACTTACCTGGGCTTGCACAGCAGTGGCTTGGTATCCTGTTAAACTCTATGACGATCGGGATCGCAGCTCAACCCAGCAATTACGAAGCCCTTTTCAACCCAATGGGTCTATAAACGGTACGATGGAGTACAGATGACGATGATGACTAACCTTGGGAGAGAAAAAAAAGAGGAGAAAAGCCTGGTCTCAGGCTCTCAGCCACCTTTTCCCTGAATTTCAAGGACTAGAAATCAGACACGAGGTCCGGGAAGCCCCAAAACGGTGGGCCGGGGGACATCCGCCCGGGTACCGGCCGCCCTGGTGCCAATCAACTCCTTCAAGAATGGAATTCGACTGTCCCCGGCCGTGCTCCCCAACGCCGGCTCTACCGTAAGGCTACCGTTTCCCGCCCATCGGTGCCGAAAACCAAGGGAAACCCAGCGCCCATCAAATCACCACTCGCAGCCACCCCCGCTCCCTTTCTCCATCTTTTCCCGCCTTCATGCGACCCAATCACCGCCTAGCTTGCCTCAGAGTTTCTGGTTTCCCTCACCATGGAATCATCGAATCTCAAATGTGCCCGCCACATTCACCGGAATGCTCCTTGACCAGAGTCCTCCCCGAAAATTGCAAGTGATTGCCAATTCAAACATGAGCTTGGCAGGGATTCGACAGATAGACCTACTCTAGCGCAGAGTCAAGACTGTGGACTGTGGGGAGTGTGGGAACGACCGCATCTTCCGTCCCCCCCCCCCCCCCCCCCGCGGGGCACGGGCCCCCCCCCCCCCGCCCCCCCGGGGCGGCCCCCCCCCCGGGGGGGAGTCGAGACGGGGGGGTGGGGGGGGGGGGGGCCCCCCCCCCCCTCCCCCCCCCCCCCCCCCCCCCCGGCGGGGGACATGGCTCCCGTCACAAGAGCTCCTGTGGAGCAATTCACGCAAGGGAAGTCACAAGCGGAACTCCCGTCCTTTTCTATGCACCAAAGATCGTTCAGGGTAACATTCCTCTATTCCGCTTGCTACCTAACCACACCTGCCAGGGCCACATAACAACCACCGCCATACTGGATATTTTTAAGTAACAAACTTCATATCTGAGCACGATAGCACACGAAGAAAAAATATCTGCGCGCCATGTGAACACCCGACCAGGCCGCCCCTGATGCTTCGCTGTCACCTGTATGGTGTTGCGGTGTGCTCGCCCTCGGTCTTGCCTGACTTCTCCCCCTGTTCTAGGCCGATGACGCCTAGCCCTGCCAAGAACATGTGTCGACTGCGATGTCGACCTTCATCTGCCGATCCTTTGCCCGGCAACTCCGAACAACGGAGCCTCGCGACACTTCATTGGCGTCCGCTCTCCGTTGTTCCGTCTGTGCAGATCTCCCAACGATCGACTTACTTGCGAGACCGGACCCCATCAAACATTGCTTTTTTTTTGTCTCCTTCAAGGACGCTTTGGCAGCCCTGTCGCAGACACGAGATACTGTTTCCCCTCACCGCCATGGAACCGATATGCTTCGTTACAGGCTAGTGTAAGTGACTTGGCACTGTGGGATGGTTCTTGAGTAGGCGTCGTCGCGTGGGTGACGATGCAGCGATGGCTGTCGTAAGCTTTTGCAGATATATCCGACTCCTTCGCTTGGTGTTTTTCAGGCGTTTCGAAGAGTTTCCGATCATCAGTTGTTGAGCTCCTAGTAGTCAAGCTCCGCCTTGGGCCATTTGACAGTGTCTTTATCTTTATCCTTTTTCATCTTTCCGCGAAACGGCTTTTGATCACCCTGACATCGTGGTTAGACCATGCTGATATTGTGAATCGAGCTGCAATCGAGCTGCAACGCGACTTACCTCTGCTTTACGTTTCTTGCCGTGCGATGGCTCGGGCGCCCTCTTCGCATACACTGGTGTGCTCTCGCGTGCTTGTGTGGCTTCCGAGTGACAGCTGTAGTGATACGCTCGATTACCGACTAATATGCTATCCAGCCACACCCATTCTTGAGCAGCTTCGAGCCACTTGTTCTCAAACTTCTCTTGGCAGATGGGACATTTGCTGTTGATACCGCTCGAAGCATCCGGCACGGGGATATATCGAGGCTTGAACTCCTTCTTCCCTCGGCCAGGACTAGACGATGAGCTATCCGCAGATGCGACGTGGTCGACATCGATGGCTTCTCGTGACTTAAGCCAGTCCTGTATGCTGTTAGGTCATCCCTAAAGATTCGGGAGCAACCCTGAGAACTCACATTGTTATCGACATACCAGCTGCGGTGCTGGCCTCTTTTCTCCGCTTCTGCGAGTCGTTGATGGGCCTTGAAATGCCAATCCATATGCGCCATCTTCTTCTTTCTACCCTCATCATCTGTCTTGAAGCGTCTGCCGCATTGCGTGCATTGAGGGCCCAATTGCTCAAAGAGAGACGGTATCAGATGTGGCTGGAATCTGCAAAGGGTTAACATTCGTAACGTTTTCAGCAAGACTTTTTGACAAACTGACTGTTGTTTCAATGCCGCTGCATCGAGTTGATTGCCGCTCATACCTCCAAGCGGGGGAATTGGTGGCAATTGGCCTGAAGCCAACAAGCTAGCAAGATTAGGTGGGAGGAATCCGGGAGGCATTATAGGCATCCCGGGAGGAGGCACTGGTGCCGGGGTTGCTGGCGTCGGCGTTGCGCTCGGAGCCGCACCCCGAAGGATCCCAGCTTGCCGTAAGCCAGCCAACAGAGCCATAGGATCTGTTGCCGGTGGTGCACTAGGCTGTCGTTGCGGCTCGGCCCTCCGTGGTGGAGGAGACCGGATCGCCATGCTGGCCTGAGGAGGGGGGGGTGGTGTAGATAGCTGCGGCGTGGCTGACTGTCGAGACAGCAAAGCAGCAAGAGCTCCTTGGCCCAGGAGTGCATCAAGCGTCACTCCAGCTTGCTGCTGAGGCAGGCCGGATGGTACTACAGGCGCCGCAGGTGGCGGCGGTGGATGATGGGAGACGATTGTAGCAGTATGGGTTGAGCTTTGGGCCGAGAATGGCCTCACTTTTACGGCAAGATCGGCTACTTGATTCTTAATGAGGACCAGCTGGTCCTGGGGCAAGTTTTGATGCTGGAGCAAGCTCTGCACATCCAACAACGCCTTTAGTCTTTGTTGAATACTATGGTCATGGGGGTTCTGCGCAAACTCCAACTTTGATGCATCGATCAACTTCTGGATATCTTGACCCAGAGAGTCTTTGTTTATCCCAGCAGCCTGAGGACCTGAGAGTCCGACTGCGTATGGCATCTGCGGAGGGGGTTGGTAGGGACCAGAGGCCGCCGAAGGTTGGGCAGTGTAGGATGGTGGAGGAGGCTGTAGAATCTGTCAGTACGTGGCTTCAAGTGCCAGGGGATAAGGTAGACGTACTGCGTAAGGAGCCATCTGCGGATGATGGGGGAGCGGCGCACTCGGAGGTCGGTTTCCATTCGCTTGCGGCAGAGGCGGAGGTTGACTATATGGCATCGGCTGATTGGACCCGGGTCGCATACCTGGCGGTGTCGGTGTTTCGCGGTACGGGACAGCAGCAGGTCGGCCGCGGCCTGCTGGTCGTCCTTGTTGAGCTTGGAGAGCTGATGTGCGAGCCTTGATCAAAGCACTCTCAATGGGCGCCGTCACTTCTGATGCGAAGACTGGACGCTTGTCAAGAGATCCAGGAACAGGCTCTTTCCAGGTACGGAGCATTTCATCCATTTTGCGGCGAACCTGACCGTCAACAGCGGCGTATGCTTCCATGAATGTCTGGTATAATTTGGCCCCGAAGAACAGCGTGTACGGGGTGCCGACGTTTTTGACGATCGAGTCGAGGACGTAGAGGGCTGGGAGCTTCTTGTGCGCTGGCGCCTGTCAAACATGTCAGCATGGATCGAGTCTTTGGGGGAAGGGAGCTTCGTGGCTTCCCAAGCTGCGTCGGAGAAGGACTTGGCAGAAGATGCGGCCTGTTACCGGAAGCTCAAGGGTAGAACCTACCTTCAAGATATGGTCCTGCAAAACTTCAGAGATGACCTGGGCATGCTCGGTCTGCTCTCTTGCAATCATTGTGAGATTGCTAATTTCGAACCGCACATTGGTAGTCAAGTCTTCGAGAGCTTGACGGTAGTCTTCAGCGACTTCAGCGGCGGACGACTCGTACGACATGATTGTGGTTATTCCTGGGTGGCGATATCCTTGATGATAAAAATGTTTGTCTGTCAAGAGCACGCGATGACGAGCGAGATCTGCAGGAAAGCGAGAGCGCAATGGCAGCGGGGAAGATTCAAATCGTCCTCGAAGTCAAGCGCCTTCACCGTATGCAATGGAAAGCACAATAAACCACCCTTATTATGGAGAAGCACCAGTCTGCTGCTTTGAAGGAGAGACGACGCAGGTAACCTAAAGTGGAAGGGGCCGATTTGCAGATTCCAATTCTCGCGTCCAGACCCTCTTTCTGCTCAAGTCCTCCGCACCAAAAGCCAACCAAATCCAAGCAGAGAGCAAGGACACCGTCACAACATTATCCAGTGGAGGTCTATCGCGTCCTCTTGAAGAGTGATATGGAGCCTTCGCAGATGTTGACGGTCGCCAAACGTACGGGGAACGCCGCGAGAATGGCGAAGACAAAGAGCAAATGGGAGTGGGAGTGGCTGTTGGGTAGTCACGGTTTTGTCGCAGCGAGACGAATTAATGAGATGAAAAGCGTTTGACCAGTTCCAAATCAATTCGAATCAAATCCTCGCAGTTGGGAAGTCGTTCGTGTATCGTCGTTGTGTTTGATGGGGGAAAGGTCAATCGGCAGCAAGTCTGACGAGGATGAGTTTGACGTCCAACCATCCTAAAATGAGGCTAATGGAGACAGGAAGTGACAGTGAAAGGCAGGTTCTGGGGCCGAAAGGCGGACCCACCAAGCTCACGTGCCTCGCGTAGCACGGATCAAGTGGCCAGGAAATGGCAGCAAGGTGCGAGTCACCTTTGCTGACCTCATCCGGAAGTTTCCTTAATCTTCCATTGTCTCAGTTCATCCGCAAGGGCCTTTGTTGCTCCTCGGGCAATTTTTTTCCTTTTGCTAAGACACAAATAATAATGATGATAATTAGTAGCTGTATACTTGCACTGGAAGTTGGATGGACATGCAGCTAGAAGTGTGTTGGAATACATCGATCGGGCTTGGTGTACCTACCTTAGTTATCTCCGGGCTGGGGCAAGGTCAAAGAGCATCTGCTCCAGACCCTCCACTACTACAGTCATCCATCTGACTTTGAGCCTGGAGTTGGTGCCTATTGCTTTCTCAACAGTTCGCACAAATTCAACGGTAACGGGCGGTCTCAGTACTTCTGGACGAGCGGATAGTCGCTGGAACTCATGGGTAGTTTTCCGCATTGGTCAAGGACGTTACTCGAAGTCTTCTTCAAGTCATTGAACGAGTAGGTTCTTGCAGAAGAGCGGCACCACATCCAGATACCTTCCGATCTTCTGTCCCAGGCCTGCGACATTTCTCTTCTTCTCCTTACTTGTCAACCAGCAGACGAGGCGCTGGTTGTAGGCTTGATATGCGATTCCAAAGACTAGTCAGAAGCGATGAATCCGATATGCTTACCTAAGATGTGGCAAGGTAGAAGTGATGGTTTAGCCGGTTGTCAAAGTCGGCGGCACGCAGTGAGTGTGCGCCTGGGGGTTTTCTTGACATGAGCTAAAGAATAGCTCAAGGTAAGATGGCTCCCTGCCTGAGAAGGATCTCAGCCTACCCTGACTTAGGGTACAACCCTTACACCAGTGAAGCCTCTAGACCATGCTCTTGAGCATGGGGGTATCAAATGAAGCGGGAGAATTTTTGCCATTTTCAGTTTCCGTCTCCGAGAGCATAATTCAAATCTTGTGTTGAACGAAACGAAACAAAAGAGAATCAACTTTAAAAGGTGACCTTAATTAGACGCCAGCACTGCCACGGTGGCCCTGGTTGGGGCTACATCGTACAATATTGGCGGCAAGAGGTTTCCTCTAAATTGCATAGCTAGACGCGCGCCATGAGGCTCAAATGGTTGAAGCACGTATTTAGAACAGCTCTTCATTTAGACCAGCCCTGTTGAATTGGCGGCAATCACTCGTTTTGGCGCGTATAATTATCGTCGACCTTGTAAAGTACTCTCAAAGACGGCCCCGGGGAGTGGAGACCTTGGCTACATCCAGACGGCATCACGAAATGAGGTGGTACGCTGACGGGCGCTAAGTTGGTACGAACACCAAGTGACCTTTCCGACGGGCTACGTTTGTCACAAACGACATGGAAATCGAATGCGGACCCCGTCTGATGCACCGGAAGCTGTCGTAGGCACGGTCGCCATACAATCTTTAGATGCACGCCTTCTATCCAGTCTTTTGGTTTCACGATCAAGTTTCAATTCTCTATGATACCACTTGTAAATGATCATGGCGCTTGGGGAGCTTCAGCCGCCTACCTCAGACGGACGCACGAAGAGCTGTGGCCGCAGCCAATGGCTGTGTTCGAAGGGGGCCGAGGTCAGCTTTCCCACACAAGTGTTGTTCTGAGGATATGTCTGATATAGATAGTTGATGTATGCCTTGGAATGTTTTCAAGGATGGACGAGAAAGAAACGTTTGAACCACCGAGGCTTGGAGAAGAGGTAAGCCCTGTTCCGTTACAGAGTACTCATTCGCTACATTTTATTAATTCCAGTTAGTTAGAACTGATTAATCCATTAGCAACGCCGGAAATTGACGAGTATCAAAGGACTTATGCTCTTCTCGGTATGATGGTGGGGACTCCGCACTGGAGGTTTGGGGCTCGCCCGCGCTGCGAAGTCGCACTCGGAAGAGCAGCTACGGGCCTGCGGCCTTCAGGTCTTCACTGCCGCAGGTGGGACGCAGGTACCCTGGGTTACCGCTCACACTAGAATTGGCCCATCTAGCCCAACTCTCCGCAGCGAATCGGTACTTCTGGCGCCTGCAGGGGTCGCTTAGCGGACATGTGTGCCTGGCACTTCGGCCGGCGGCTGTCTTTGCTAAACTCGCATGAAACAACGTCTCGTCGCCCGTCATCCAATCAATCCGGCATCGCGCCCGAGAACTGAGAACTTGCCATGTCCCTTCCACTCGCAACTGTTCACTTTGCTTGCAACCATGAGCAAACCACCGTCTGCTATACCCCTACCTCGGATCCCATCCAGACCTTCAATGCTTGAATATTGGCCTCCTGCTCTGCCAACTCTGTCCCTTTGGCGCCCTCTCATAGGTTCGTTGCGCCTGCTTTGCTAGCCCTTGAACAAGCTGCAGCAGTCCGACTTTCAGCGCACGATTGGATGAAAGCGGCCCACGGCAAGTTCATGCCACCCATGTCAGCCATGGTCTTTGCTCCCTAGACCCTCCGTCGTCTCGTCTTTGCTCTTGCCGAGCTGGAGAGCGCCACAGGACATCAGCAGCTCCACGATGGAGATGGTGTCACTCACATGCAGCGAGGCCACCGCTGCCCGACCCGTATCGTGACGAGGAAAATGACTGACAGAAAAGCTGCTAGCTGCCCTGGGCTGCGCGTGCTCGACCAGGGGTCTCATTGAAACCACGTCTGGTCGCCGCATGGCGTCGTCTGGAACCTCAACCGCAGGAAGCACAGCACAACCTCCCGCTACCGCGTCCTCGAGTCCACAATATGCGTCCAGTCTCTTCATGATCCGTCCATCCCGCATGCCCCCTACTCACAACCCCCGTGTCCCACTTCTCATACCGCCCGGGACGTCGAGGGATCGCCCAAGCCGTTCGTGAGAGAACCCATGAACGCTCCATCGTCTCCCCTCCATCCCCACCCATACTGCGTCTCCGCCGACGCATCCCGGCCCTGATGGCCCTCTCGCGCTGCCAGATCGATTGGCTGATGATTGCGCGAAACTTTTGGCTACAATTCGAAACGGCGAATGGGAAGGGCCACCGGACAGGCACCCTTTTGTCAAACCATACCTGACTTTACTCTTGCCTTCTCGCTGGAATGACAAACTTCCAGGTGACGTGCAGGAAGAGGAGGAATAAGGGCACTGTCTCGAGCAAGGTCCCTTCCCTATCTTTACCATAGGTAGGCGCTTTGCATCGTTTTTTCACCCCATGTTTCTTTAAGCTCGTGGAAGGAAACCCAAGGTCAATCAGGGTCCTGTCTGTATTAAAGGAGAAGGAGCTCCCGTCCCTCCTTCCTTTGACGTCGAACTTACCCATCGGTCTTTCCTGGCAGGAGCCTCCTTCCCTCTTTCCCCATTGAACAGCCGTGAAAAGATTCTGTTCCTGGGCATCTACTAATCCTGTTCGCTTACAATCCTTCCCTCCTGACATCCTCGTCTCCTTCTCTCCTTCTTCCTTCATGAAGCCATCAACACTTTCTCTATAACGCCAACTCTCCTGGACCGGTTTCCAGAAGTATTTCCTACTTGTCTCATAATCACACGCTCGCGCTCGATAATCTGCCACCGAATCACTATTCGCTTGGATCACCTCGTCAGCCTGGACTGACCGAATTTTTGCTACGGACCTCATCACCACTGAGCTAACCATTTACCACCGACCACAATTCCCTCGACCCTCTCCTTGTATGATGTTTCGCCCTTTGTCAACGGCAGAGTTGTCACTAATGTTGCCCCAGAACCTCGATACTCCTCATCAGAGCACTCGAATACCCCCGACTGCCCCATAGTCTTCGACAAGCCAAGAGACTTCGAGAACTCGAAAGCACCGCGAACGCTGTCGAGCTACAACGCCAGGATGTTCAACCTCTCTGAAAACTCCGGCCTCCGCGGCTCGGGTCACTTAATCCTCAACGTCTTCCGGGCGTTCAATATCATCGGCCTCTTGGCCGTGAGTGCCTCCACTTGGACCATGATCGTCATGTCCATTCTCAAAGGCAACTTTGCCTTCTTCGATTCGGCCTCTCGCTTCTTCACTTTCTCCGTCGCCATTTTCCTTATCTTTTCCGAGCTCAACATCTTCCGAGCCTACTTCGAGCGCAATTGGCCTGTCCTCTCGCCCGAGCATGGCCTCAGCTGGCTGGGGATTGCCATGGTCATCATGGGCTGCCACGTTCTCGCGGGTATCTCAGTACCAGCCTTTTCCGTTGAGACCATTGGTCTTCCTCTTTGGCGTCTCATCCTTGCCTCGGGAATTCTGGTCATTACCTTTGGTTTCTTCAACATCGTCTCGTCCATAGTGTTCCGTGACGGCAGCAACGGCATCAACGCCCGCAACATTCGCAGCGAGGGTACTCTTGCCTCCGGCAAAAACTCGTACGCCGACGGGTACTCTGTCAGGAGCAACTCCATTCGCAACGAGAAGCCGAATAATAAGTTCAAACGCCTCACGCAACGTTTCACTCCTTGGAATAAGAGGAACGACGACGCCAGCCCTCGCCTTAACATCAGCCAACCCATCGCTCGCGATGTTGAACAGGGCCACAACTTAGAGCAGGGCCACGACTCAGAGCCCGAAAGAGACTTTGACGAGGACCGCCGCAGCCCCATCATGCCTGATGTCGCTCGCCCGGCTACTGCGCTGCATCCCGCCATGGCCGGTCACCGCCACTACTCCAAGTACAGTTTGGCCAGCAACGTAAGCCGCTTTTAAGGAGTGGTGAAACGAGAATTCATCTCTATCTCGAGGACGAGACGGGCATCAATGGACTTCATAGCATCTTTGGTATTACAGAGTATGCAATCTCTTTCATCAGGGTGGAATGGCGTTTCACGGATAACTTAGTTTGGCTTTGAAAAAAATACCCGGCACGACGGTACGGTATAAAGCAAGGAATATGAGATTTTGGGAATTTTTCATCACTGGTCACGACCAGCAATCAGTTATCAGCATAAAAGACGAAGATGCACGTTGAAGGATCAGTCATTAATTGTAGAGCATTATTATCAACCTGGTCTTGCCTATTCGCCGTGGCCGATGAGAATCGTGAGGCTGGTCTAGCATCTGACAGGGCACCGTCATGGGCATCAAATGTCTCGGCAAGAAGTGAGGTCGAGGGCTTTTAGAGTAAGGCGACCCATCAACCGACTATCCCTGAAAGTGATCCATGTAGAATTCCAAGTTTCCACATTGTTGATACCCTGGTACCTGGAAATTTTCAATGTGTAAAGGGGGGCGCCTCCATCTGCTCTGTAGGTGCGATCGATAGGTTAAAGGACTGATGAGATGATTTGTCGCCTGGTCACGGGTGATCATATCTTGGAGAAACAAAACTTAAGTCGCACATGCACGTAGGGTAAGGGAGAGTGAGAACGGCCAACTTTGTCAAAGTTTATCACATTGAAATCACATAATTCATCATTGTACGCCCTCCAGTTTTTTAAGAACCTCGAAAAGTGTGTTCCATTTTTCGTATCAATTGAGCCTTTTGACCTCTGGGACTCAAGCCAGAGGAAGAAGAACACTCCAGCGCATGATATCAAGTGCTTTCCCAAGTCGTGAAAGTAGTGGCATCCCGAATACCTTCCATGATGATGATGATGATCCACCGCCGTTGTCGTGTCCTCCGCGAACACCACACCTGGCAGCCGAAGCCGTCGAACAATACGCGAGCGGCCCGGTAGCCTTTTCTCCAGAAGAGGCGGCACCGCCAACGATGCCTTCTTCGGCGGAATCGTCCACTGCTGTTGCGCGTGGGCGAAACCGTTTACCGGTAGCGCCACAGGGACAGGGTGTTGTGGCGCTTCCAGGTCTTTCTGCGGCCGGCCTGGGTCTTGTTGTAGCGGTGGCCCTTGTTGAGGCCGCGGGACTTCTTGCCGGTGGCGGTGAGACCGCGAGCCTCGCGGTGCTTGTGGACGGGGGCGACGATCCAGTTGATGCGAGGGTCCTGGCGGATGGCCTTGTGCTGGGGGTCGACGAGGATGACCTCGTAGTACTTGTAGGTCGAGTCCTGGTTAACCCAGTAGGAGTTGAGGACGCGCAGGTTGGCGCAGCGGCGGCCGACACGCTCCTCGGCGGTGGAGGCGAGGGAGCGCTGGTACTTGAGCTGGTTGACACCCTGGTTGGTGGGCTTGCCTGTGCGAGTCCAATCCCGTTAGCAATCCTTTCTTTTTCCTTCGACCGGGGGAACCAGTTCGCTCTTTGGGAGCCCATGGTCACTCTCCCCGTTTGCACATGTCGGGCTCGTAACGTACCGAAGGTAGCACCCTTGGCGACGGGCTTCTTGCGGCCTCCACGGCGGACGCGGGCACGGTAGATAACGTAGCCCTGCTTGGCCTTGTAACCGAGGCGGCGAGCCTTGTCGGGGCGCGAGGGACGCGAGGCGCGGTGGATGACATTCAGCTGTCGGAGCTATATTGATGCACTCTCAGCAAATGTTCAACGAGTGTATAGCAGGAACGCAAAGTTTTCCCCGTCCCCACTGTCCCTCTTGATCGCGTTCGACCGAAACTTTGACCCAGAGACCCCTCCATCAGAAGGAATCCAGAATCAGAAATTTGGCACCGAGTGATCAAGAGAGGGGGGATCGAGGATTCAAACTTGTCGTGCGTCCACATGTATCGGAATCGGGTGGTTTCAACGTACTTCCCAGCAGCGAACACGCAGAAGGAAGCGCATCACATCGGACTGCTTCTTCTTCTGGAGTTCTTCGACATACTTGAGGGCACCCATTTTGACTGCGGCGACGGCGTCAGATTAGCCTCTTGATTGACAGTGAAAAGGAATTGAAAAAAGAGCGACGAGGTAGTCGAAGAGGGAGGGAAGGGGACAAACCAGCTGTTCACGTAAAATCCGGCTGCCGAGGTTTTGGTGGTGATGTTGATGAATTGGACGACGGTAACAAAATGTTTGAGTGGAAGGGGAAAAATCGAGGAAGGGTAGAGTTTGTGCGGTAGTACTAGTCCTGAAACAGTTAGCGCGACTGGGGCTGGGCTTGCCCCGAACCTAATTATGGGGCTTGGATCTCGCGGTGTGTTTATTTTTTCTCTCGGTGAACTGAACTCGGTGTGCTTTGGCGAAGGGAGGCACGTTCAGGCACTGTGGGACCAGCATCAGCGGACAATGGAAGTCGCCAGTTGAACTTTTGACTACTCCGTATAAATTTTGCGCCTATTTGGTTCCCAGTTCATATACTCGTCGCTATTAACACCAGATCTTTAGCTTTTTTTTTCACATTTCCCCCCCAGTTTCTACTATTCTAGATCCTGAGAGAAGAGTTTTGCAAGGAGAAGGTGTCACAGGTCGTTCATCTCAGTCTTCGGGATCTCGTCATTGGCATACCAGACAAGAGTAACCTGTAGCTATACGACACACATACAAGAGTGGCTTGGCTACACTTCTTCATGTCGCAGTTACCTTTTCATCTACCCTCGAGCTTGTCTTCGGCCTTCAGAGACTTTCCTCCCCCCCCCTTCTGCCTGAGCATGCTCTCCTGCTGGCATTGTCAATGTTCACCTCCCCCTGGAGTGTGGAACTTCCCCTGCTATGTCGCAAGTGACTTGACCTACATCAAGAAGATTTCTCCAATAAAGACAGCCTTTAATGGCAAGTGTATAGATCAAAGTGGTTTCCAGTGACGGTGTCAGATCAACGAACATTTTCGAGGTATATGTCAATCGCTCTCACTTTAGAGATTGCTCAGGCAACCAACGCGTACAGGTTTACCTGCACATCCCCCGCCTTCTTGTGACCGTTCCATGCGGAGATCTCTACTCGGTCGATCTGGCAAGGCTCAAGATTACGTTTTGATGACGACAGGCACGATGCCTGAGTCTTAAGTTGTCGTCAGGAAGCATGAAGAAAGCATCAGCCTAGAAGACGAAACACATCATGGGTTACGGCAGTGTAAAGGCATCGAGTTCTTGATCCTCATGTTCTCAAATCCCTAAAATCGACGGAATAGCAAAATCTTTCGTACAAGAATCCGATATTGATCCATTACCCAGAAACACAAGTCCCTTTTTTTAATCTCAGGTGACACCATGCTTGTGTGAAAAAAGTAAAAAGAAGTCTCTCTGTCTATGACGGTAGTTCCCTGAGTAGTAGTGAAAGTCTCTCAATCTCCTCTTGAATCTCTCATTCATCATGAATTTGGGGTGTGTGCTGGGGGAAAATAGGCCGTGGTTGCTGAGTCTCGAAGCAAGCCTGTACAGTGAATGTGAAAGTGAAAGTATTTGGGGATCCCGCGTGTCTTCCCATTTTTTGTCCTTTATGTCTTCTTTTTTCTTCCCAAAGAAGCACAAAGGTCCCGCCAATTTTTGACAATTTAAAAGCAGAAAAGTGGAAGCCGTCCAACTCCTACAGTGAGAAAAAAAATACGTTGCCAGGCTCTGCAGCCCAGGCTATGCTTACAATGCCTCAACCCGCCAACCGTAACCATGTACGATGGGTCGTTGGGCCGAAAGTGCGTTAAAATGCGTCGAAAGACGAACCAAAGTATCATGCTCGTTAGAAAGCTCGAGTAAAAGGTGGAAGTTGAAAAGCAGTATCGTGATCGCTTCCAATATCGAGCGCCTCACTAGCGACTATTCAAGGAGAGGCCCTGAAATGCGGTAGCCCATTCACTCTGAGTGTTCATCGGACCCACGCCCGACTCATGCGGGCCAGGTCCCTCGGTTCCTGGCTGGAAACGAGACCGCATCGGATAGTCAGCTGCGCCAGGGAAGCCGTAGTTGTCGAGCGACGGAACAACTCCAGGGACATAGGGCATGTTTCCAGGCCTGGGCGCATTGCCCATGCCGCCCATGTGCGAATAGGGATAGTTTGGCTGTCCGTAGCCACCGGCCGGACCTCCAGGTCTCTCACCAAACGGCGGGGTAAATGAGTTCTGGAATCCACGGCCAGGCAGGCCTGAGCCACTGAATCCTCCAGAGTGCTGATCCTGGTTCTGCTGCTGCTGCTGCTGCTGCTGCTGCGTGGAGCGTCGCTCAGAATTGTTCGATCCACCACGACCCACGCCAACCGCTCCGGGTCCGACGCCGCTAGGAGCCTGGATACCCAAGGTGGGACTAGCAAAGGATGCCGGGTTGATGGCCGACATCCAGATTCTGGTCTTGTAGATCTTGAAAAGATCCGTAACGAGGGAATTGAAATTGATGTACGAATCAGCGAAGTAGTAGAATGTCAACTTCTTCCAATCCCTGTGCGCGGTTAGTCTTACATCTCATGTCACCCTTTTCAAGAAACCTACATTTGAAACTCGGCATCGAGAATCTCCATGTTCAGCCCATGCTCCTTGACCTTCTGCATGCAGACACGCTTGGCCTTGGCCTCGTTGCCCTCCTTGTCCCGCAAGGCGTGGATTTCGTGGCTCTGTGCCAAACGCTTGATGAGCTTGGGCTTCAGCTCTCCGGCGTTGGGTTCCTGCATGTGATGCTGGTTGGGCGGACCCATTCCGCCGACGGCGCTGCCCTGGAGGCCATTGGCGGCCGCCATTAGGCCGGCGCCTGTACCGTCCTGGGCAGCAGCAGCGTTCTGAGAGTACATCATCAGCCACTTGTACTGCTCCTCAGCATAGTGCTCCTTGAGCTCCTTAGCAGTCTGCCAGTCAACGTTGTCGCGGGCGACGGTGCCTAGATCAGTCCCTCGATCAGCTTCGACGATGACAAGGTCGCCGGGCTTGACGGTCAAGCCAGTGCCCTCCTGGATGTAAAAGACGTCTGCTCTAGCACATTTGAATAAGACAATGTGGAGCAGCTGATTGTGACGCGGCTGCGACATCGCATAGACATTGCGATGAGGTGAAGGTGCACGGTTTCCATAGGGAGGGTGCATCGTATAAGCCGAAGGGAAAGTGTTGTTGAATTGCATGCTCTGGGGAGGAGCAGCAAGGCCGCCGCCAGGAGTAAAATAGGCAGCTACGTCTGTGAGTCAGCTTCCATCATGCCAAATCAAAAGTGCCGCCTACCTGTGTTGCCCAGGGGATAATTCTGATTCTCGGAATAGGCCAAGGAATAATCCTGAGGCTGCTGCTGCTCAGCTACAGGCGTATCAAGCGCGCTGAAGGACTCGTTGATGGAACTGATAGAGCCTTGGCGGGTTGGAATATCTGCAAATGAGTGTCTCCGGCTCTGCTGGCCTTCAGGGCCGCCAAAACCTAGAGAACTGTGCCAGAATGCCTTCTTAACGTTCTCCAACTTTCTGTTCTCGTACGGCGAACGGAAACCAGACGCCCCGAATTCACTCATTCTGCGGCCCAGAGCTCTCTTCGCCATCTCGTTTCCATCATTGGCCTCATCAAGCTCGTCGATGGCAAAGTCGGACTCCTCAGGAACCGACTCGCGCAAGGTGTAACCATTACCAAGACCGTAAGTGGCACCAGTAGAGGCTCTGGGACGGAGACGGTTTTGATACTGTTGTTGTTGTTGCTGCTGCTGCTGTTGCTGCTGCTGCGCCTGTTGCACCTGTTGCGCCTGTTGCTGTTGACGGAGCATGGCATTCTCCCGGGCAAGCAGCTCGATAGTCTTAGCCTCAGCAGACTGATGCATCGAGCTCTGCATGGACTCTGTCGCACTCTCGTCGTCATCGTCATCCACTTCCTTCACCTTTCCGAGCGGGCCTCCCTCGTTTGACATCTCACTCAGCATGCTGGGCCGGGAAGGACGGTGCTGTAGGCCAGAGTGTCCATGGGCACGTCCACGACTGAGGATCGTCGAGCTGCTCATAGTGGCTGGGGGGGCGTCGGGTTCCAACTGGCCAACCGAGTAAGACTGAGAACGGTATGTCTTAGGCGTTGGGTGGAGGGGGATTGCAAAGGGGATTTGGGCGTTGGGGCCAGAGTCTCGCGGTGCAGGAGAGGTCTGTCCATAGTTGTCAGGGTTGAAGAAGGAGCCTCCGGCTGACCCAGGCGGCATTGTCGATGTGGGCGAGGGTAAAACCTCACTCAAGCGTGAGGGTGGATCCTTTCTCTCATTATTCCAGATACCTGTGCCCCAGGTGAAGGAGCCTCCCGGAACGGGAGCGCGACCCATGACACCGGATGACTGGTTGTGAGTGCCCCAAGGTGCATTTCCTTCCGCGGAAGGAGTGCTTGGGTGGGAGGCTGTGGGAGACATGGAGCTGCTTGCGAATGAACCTTTTCGGGGTCGAGGCAGCGGCTGGGTAGTGTCGTTGAGCCACGAAGCTCTTCTGACGGGCTTCTGAGGCTGGGTTTGCTGCGGTGGATCTTGGCGATGAGAGTCAGCTTCGTCGTCTGAGCTGGCTAAAGCTTCAGAATCAGGCGTTGATCGACGGTTAAGCTTGTCGAGAAGAATGGTGTGGCTATTGACTACGGAGAATGTACCCTGACCCTGTTTGGATGACGGGCCGGGTTTGGCGGTGCTAGTACTTCCTGTACCAGAACTCATTGTCCACCTGTTGCCTCCCGATTGAAAACCGGAAAGTCTGGTCCACTTCTGGATACTTGGTCAATATTGAAACTGACAGAAATGAGTCGCTGAGAGCTCTTGAAATTTGAAGAAACGGTTTGTTCAAACGGAGGAAGTGAGTAATGGGTTGATGAGTTTGGTCAGGTGTTCTTGAAAGAGGATAAAAGGCGGTAAACTCCGAATGAGACTAGCAGTTGTATTAGCAGCTAGGTCGTCAAACGTTAAAGGCAAGCGCTCTGAGACAAGATGAAAGAGATGAGTTTCGCCGCAACCAGCGCTGGTGTCACGGCGAGCTGCGGCTCGGGCTGCAGGTCAAAGCTGACAGCCACTGGCGAAGGGCAATTGGAAGGCGCCACGAGGTCCGAGACACGAGACAGAGACGCTCAAGGACTGACGCACGAAAGGGTAAAACGGGCAAAAGATGTTCAGTAGACAAAAGATATGAGTACAGGATGTCGTGGTATTCCACGAGGTCGAGGTGATGTCGCCAAACAGCCGAGGAAGTTGACAGGGATCTGAGCTTGGGCGGCGCTTCTCACACGCGTGAGGCAGTCGCACTCAGACAGAAACAGATAGACGAAGTGTACCAACGAAAGGCAGTGGAGCTTGTCTTCGGAGGATTTTCCGCGAGACAGCAGCAGCCTTGCGACATGGAATGTGTGATTCGCACAGCAGACGAGTGAAAACAGATACGTACCGAACTGCGGGAAACCGGGTAGATCCTATCGCCAGGGTATCAAATGGTGTAATCTCTAGATGCTGAGGAAACAGTCTGATCGGGTGACCGAGGCGAAATCGATGTGGGAAGGCGCGAGAGAGAGGCTCTTAGGTGACGACTGGTGCGTGGCGCGGCGCGGCGAGTCGGTTCGAGGCGATCTGGAGAAACGCTGCCCTGACGGAGTCGCAAAGCGCAGTTGCAAGGGGAGAGGGGGAGAGAGAGAGACAGGGGATTCCACGCCGTGTCCAAGATGAAGGCGTAGATGGGGGTGAGAGAGTAAGAGAGAGAGTGTGTGTGTGTGTTTGTGGATGAGTGATAAACGTCGAGAGAGCGAGAGGCCGCAATGAAGAGAGATGATTATGGCGCGCGTAAAACGGGGGCCAGAAAAAAGCGCGAAGAGTCGTCTAAACCAGCTCGTCTAACCCAGACCCAAAGTTGCCCAAAGGAAAATATTCAACGTGATGTATGGCGAGGGGTCGCGTAGCAAAGCTGGGGCTGCGGTCAAATGGAGGAGCTATGCGTGTGCTGTGCGCGCGTGTATTGTATGCGTACCGTCTAGAATCGATGTGCGATGTCGTTCGTTAGTGGAGGGGGACGGGATGGTAATGCGACAGAGCAGGTTACGCGCAGCCCATTGTCGGCGCGTAGTGGATGATGAGCGATCGCAAAGCGGAATGCGGGTGGAAGCTGTGGATGTGGATGCTGGAAAGGGGGATGGGAAAGAAGAATGTCTTGGGCGGCGCCCTCGATCCTCGGGGTGCGACGGGCTTGAAGGACAGATGAGGAGAAGCACGGAGAAGGGGAGAGGGAGAACAGACGAGAAAAGTGTTGGAGAGGTTTGAGAAGGATGGAAAGAGGTCACGGTTGTAGTACGTTGATGGAAGCGGGGGAGGAGAAAGACGTTGCGACTGCGACACGAGACCAGAAGCTTGTCCAAGTGGCTGGTGCGTACCTAAGGTATGGGGGAAGGGTCCGGTTCAGGGTGTCCGTAAGGTAAGGTGAGGTAAGGGAATAGGGCCACCAGGCGAGCCTGAGGGACAGGATGACTGAAGAGGAGGTAGCTTGCCACCTGACGACACACAAACCGCGGGCAGTGAGGGGAGTTTAGGAGAGGAGAAGGGCGAACTGAGTGGGTGGTGTGTGGGAGTATGGGGTATGGGTGTAAGGGTGGTGGTGTGTGTGCGTACCTAAGTGTGTGTGGGTGGGTAGTAGGCGGAGCTGGTCAAGGTATTCGTAGCTCGCGAATAAGACGATTCGAGGTCAAGAGGTCGATGTTGAATAAAGAAGAGACGAGAAGGGGTCTGATCTGAGGAGGTGTTCCTGTGCCACAAGCAAGGGCAAGGCAATGACCGGAGAGTGCGTGAGAGAGGCCCGGTCTGGTCAGTTCTGGTAAGGACAGGTCATGCGATGGATATAGAGGTAACAAGTTACCTCAAGGTGAGTGAGGTCAAGTAAAAGTGTGGTAGCAACGGGAAGCAATGCAGTGTGCGCAGAGAGTGTGAGGAGAGATGCAATGCAGTCGGAATACCAGTAGCTCCAGCCAGCTCCAGCTCCAGCTCCCCAGTCCAGTGACTCCAGTCCAGCCCAGCCCAGCCCACCTCAGTCTTGGTCCGGTTGAGTTTGGGTTAGGTTGGAGTGTGCCTGTCTGTGTGCACTGCAAGCCACGAGCGGCATGCACTGTATGAAAAGCACCAACCCCAGGCCAAGGGTGCGCACAGAGGAGCGAGCTAAACCCTGGTTGGTTTTGGGGGACAAATGCCTGTTCCTAGGCCCGAAAGAGCACGGGCAGGTAGCATGGGAGGTAACGTATGGCTGGAGGCCTGCAGCCTGTCCCCGTCGAGGTCAACGGATTGTCAGGGACGGGAGTGTGCGGGCGGGCTGGCTGTGGATCGAGTCGACTACATAGTAATATCGGTGGAGGGGACAAGTGGGCAGGTCCCAGTTGATCATCGTACGGGAGAGTGGGAACGTGTCGGGACGATGAAAGCACAACGGTGATGCTGAGATGGGGGAAAATCAAGACAAGAAAAAGAAAAAGGGGGCCTCGGATGAGGTGAGGGGAAATCATACCCTCCACTGCCTTAGGGTTGGGTATCTGTATCTGTATTCGGACTTCTTTTCCCTCCCTCAACTTGTTCAGGTCCGGTCAATGGCCATATAGGGCGCCTTATTGCCCATCCAAAGACATGCCCGGATGGCAATGATAGGTTAGACCACCAGCAATGTAGTAACCGGAAGACTGCTTCCACGTCTTCTTGCAAGTCTCTGGCTTGAAAGGGCGTAGCAATATCGACATATACTACTATGTCACAGCATCTGAATGAACGGTATCCCAGAGCACCAGAAAGAAATACCACGTCAATAAAGATGATGTCACACGTGGTGAGGTGAAAGAAGAGTGCAACCATCTCCCTGCCCACAGAATCGACCACTTGGTCGCTGTGCATGTTGGAAAAGCTGAGACAAAGCATGCAGAGAATCAAAGTCTTCACTGCAAAGACGGAGATTCATTTCCCTGGCTGTCAACAGCACTTGCTGAAGTCTGCTGGATATAGGAGATGGTACAAGGTCCTGTTGGTCTGGCAAGACTTCTTTGCATTCGAGATTGCCCGAAAACCAATAATGGGCAATTGGAGCATGGCGAAGCTAGTGAAGGGGAAAGTATATACCCAATCACCTGCAAGATATGTTAGAGTCTTAGAGCGGCAGCTAGGACACACACACATCTTGCCTTTGTGTGCAAATGGAAGGATCCCCCCTTCCTGTCAAAGAGCTTCGAGTGGCCCAGAAGCATTGGCAAAGGGGTGTGCAGCGGAAAGCGAGACGACAGTGTGGTAGGGCCCAAGAGGCCCCCCCTTCGCACGCTTTGCAGTGCAAGGCATTTACCTAGGCAAATAAAAGTGTGGCGGGAGGCGGGAGCCAGAGTAGCCTAGACGACGAGGCAGGGGAAGAGATGGGAGGAAGTTGAGAAACCCAGATTGCCGTTGACGTGGTGTTGTATGTTCCCTGCTGGTATTTTCTCTCGAAGCAGGTGCTTTGTGCAAGAAAATGGGGTTCCACGAGTGGCAGTCCGAGATTGGAAAAGTATTATAAGAGTAGGCGACTTTGGCAATGTTGACCGAAAGAACATGTGTGCTGTTAGTAAAGTGCGCTTCACATGAGTGATGCGCAATGTCGGGTTTTTCCTCCTGTCGTCAGGTACCTTGGGCAAAGCTGGAAGAAGATATCTTCAAGTCCCCAAAACACGAGGGCGTCCGGCAGGTAGAGAGACAGGCTGGATGGATGGAGGTGCCTGCCACCCTGCCTCTGGAGACTCAGGCGGCACAGTGTGGCCAAAGTGCCCGTCTCAAGCGGTGGATCCGAGCTAACCGCCCTTGGTCACTTACAGGAACGTACTGCCCAGCATCTTCCCGGTTCCCCACATTGTTCTCCAGGTGGAGACCCACTTTACGTGCTCTGCCACTGCCAGTCAGAACACAGAGCACACAGGGATCGCCAGGCTAGGCAGGCCAGGCCGGGCCTGTCAGGGCTTAGGGGTCGTGGCTAGTGGGGCCGTCCGTCTGCAAGTGACCAACCATCTCAGATCATATCCTCCTTGCTTCTTTGTTCACGCAAGAGCAACTGGGAGCTGCCTCGATGCATCGTGGATTTCCAAGACCAAGAGGGAAAGAAGCGGGGAAATAGCAGACCCTCCTTGCCTCCATCCACTCGCTAGTGCACTATACGGGTATAAAGGAGAGATAAAAATTTGAAGAAAGCAAGCCACCAAGATGCTGCTTACCTAACGATGGTGTGCCCAGTGCATGGGAGCCTCGCGCGACGTCTTGGCTCCTCCCGCACTTCCGAATCGACGGTGGCATATCGGCGGGACATCTTGTTTCCACCTCAGCGCTCTGCCTCCTTCATTGCAACCTTGCTCGCCAGTTCTTGACTGGTCCTTCAACTTGATGCTACATTGGTCTGCACCATTACATACACGTCAAATCCTCACTACTTCTTCGTTGTCCGGCCGAGACTTGGACGTGGGCTCGGGCGACAAACCGCGCTAATGACCGACACAGGGTACAGCAACATCGTATCCCTACAGTCACCTCTTAATTCCGCCCTCAACCAAGACCAGCCTCGGGGATCAGGAAGCTTCCCGAACAAAGTGGGTTGCCCTGCCGATTCTCATGGGCACTCCTTCATCCGCGTCTGCAGAAAATGATGGCACACTCGCGTAAGATTCTTCCGAGTCCTACGACTCCAAATCTCCTCGACTACCTCCGCCCCGCCCATGACATGCAATGCCTGCAGAGAAGACGTTGTGTGATACGTCTGCATTTTACGCCCATGTACCCCAGTCGACAGCGACCTACGGATGCACCTCAGATTTTTGCCAGCACGGTGCACTCAGTAAATCACCTTGGATTATTGAATAGCTTTCGCAGATACCCATACTGGGCATGTTGGGCATTGTGCATCCGAAATTTCCTTCGGCCCACCGTTCTTCCGTGGTCGGGGATCCGGGTTGAGTACCAAGAACAGGTTTGAGAGGCGCAACTAAGGTATCCTTACCACTCAGCGAAACTGGCTGGAACGCCTAAGAGACCAGCATGAACGAGCGACTAGCCTCCTTGAATCATCGACATGGATACCTACCCTCAAGATGGTCCCGACGATGCCGTCAATACTGCAGCTTTCTTCTGGCATGCTTTACCTCAACCTCCGGGCATGGAGTGGCCATCTGACCTTAATGCGGCTGCAACAGGCGGAGCCCATTCGCTCATCGCCGATCCTTCAACCTTTAGCGGCTTTTCGCCCCATGATCAACACCTGGCCAAGTCCAACTTTGGTCAGCGACGGCATAGCGCAACAGCTCGGAGGAGCATATTTAAACCACCAGCCAGCGAACCAGCCAACCGGTTGATTGTTTCCATCGTCCCAAGTACCCACGTATACCTATTGGTCTCGCCGTTGCAGGGTCTCACCTTTCCACTACATGGCCGAGGCCGCGGACATACGTGAGACACAGTCGTGATCCAAACACGTCTGTTTCTTGAACGCAATGTGAAGCACGCGCCGCCATCGTGTCCGGGAACACTACGGCAGCGGGAGCCACGGTCGATGTTCGCATGGCGGTCTCCTGGAATGTTTGTAGGTTTGCCGTTGGAGCTTGCAAGGGTGGCTGGACTTCTGCAGCTTGCCATCGGTCCTCATCCCTCACCACCCCGCACTAGTTCCATGTTCTACAAATGCTCGTGGGCTCTCGTTGCGGCACAGGTGACAAGGAAGAATCTTCCAGACAATAGTTAGTACCGGTATGAGACGCTTCGATTGCAACGACTCTCCGCCACCATGAAGCGAGAACGAGGCATTGGTCCCGGATTCCATGATGCGAGGTATTTTGAGTCAATGACCACCAGTATCGACCGAGAGAAAAAACAACTACAAACCGACGCACCAGCTTGTGCCCAGGAGGTCGCCGGTCAACCATCTACTAGAGGAAACCATCATTACCATTTCCGATATTGGGAGAAGCGCCCACTACAGCCAAGGGTGCATGTGCAGATGCAGGCAGAAGGTCTGGCGATGAAGGTCTGGGTTCAGGGCACTTCTCCGAGACGGAGAGGGGTAAGGATCCGTGGAGTAAACGGGCTGCTGCAGCATGTCACGCGCGCCCCATCCCAAGCTAACCTCCTCCACCCTGAGAGGTTTCTTCGATCCGGTTGTCTCACTGACCTCACGGTGGCATCATCCAGCGTCTGGGCATATAGCGCAGTTTTTGGCTTTCGATCTCGAATCAGATGCAGACCCAGGTAAGCAGTATCGACGATGAGGATGAACGAGCGCACTGCCGGCATCCGACGGGCCGGGCAATGCCTAGTGCTTTTGAGATACATGCGCAAGATTGCGCGGTTCGACTACATAGTCCAATCCGGTGAACACCAGAGCAACGTCTGTCACCGGAATGTTTTCCGCGGGCTGTCTATTGCTTTTTTCGCTCAACGGTCGCGGTACGTCTGATTACCGCATCCTAGTGAAAGTGCGTGTGAAGCCCATGGCATCGTTGAAAGATGCCTTGAGCCTGAGGCTAAGCAACCCAAAGTAGAACACGCAGACGCGGTCGACGAGACGTCTGTATTCTGCCATCGTCGAGGTGATCTGATGGCATGCAAATGCAACCATCAAAGACGACGCCGAAACATAACGTACCGCACCGTCACTGGAGATCGACGACACCCCAGAGCCGATAGAGGGCGAAAGTCAAAATCAGCCAGGGGGGCTTTACCCCGGATTCTCATCTCGTCATTAAACTCAACCGTCGGCGGCTGCTGCAACGGCTCCAGGAGCCAGAAGCCAAAAGTCACCAGGAAATGTCTGAGCGGACGTCAGACAATTCCCAGCAGCACCTCCACCGATCTCGAAGGGAATCATCTGGAAGTTTGACCTTTGTGTTTTGGGTTTCTTCTGACCTGCCTGCTGCCCACCAAGCGGCGCTACTGCAACTAAATACTCAGGGTCTCCAAGATCTACGCTTTCCTGGCCCACCCGACATGACCGCAATCGTTCCCTGTCATATCTGACCTGCCTCGGGACTGCAAGTTGGTTATTGCCATGCCTTGCTCTCTGCAACTAGAACACAGAGAATGTGTCGAACAAAGTCAACAGGGGGCTCGTTAGTTACTTGATGAGAGCACCAGTGGTATTCGGTGCGGAGCCAGAGACGGACAGGCATGCACCCGGCAGACTGGCATGATGATGAGGAGATGCGGCACGAGATCAGCGGAAGTCAGGGTACCTAAACTCGACTGAGCAGAAAAGACGAGCTAAAGGTTGGTGGGCTGACGACCTCCTGGGCCTGTTTGAGGAGAGAGAGGGGTGGGAAACAAGCCGGGGATGGCCGTTTTGACGCGGAAAGGAAGGCTTGAATGACACTCTGGATGTCGAACCGTGGGGACGCCAGTAGGTAGTCGAGGGGTTTGAGGGGTTCTTGCACGGCAACAACCACCCCCGGCTCCCCCGCCCTGATCCGCAGGAGCAACGCTTGGTCAGCCAGAGTCCAATCAGGATGGGGGCAATTGGAAACCCTCCGCCAACCCGCATCAGTCTCGAATGCAGCTGTCTGGCAGACCATGACGATCTTTACCCGCATTGTCGACGGCAATGCCTAGATTCTGCAAATTGACTGACGCCGGTGCTAGGGTTGGGCGTACGAGGCTCTCATAGGCTCGCACGCTCGCATCCACCTGGATCGGTCTCGGCTCGGAATTTGAGTATCTCGAGGTAGCCCAGCTCAGCCCAAGTTTGCGATGCATCACATCCAACCGAACACGAGGCCTAGTGACCACAGTCTGTGAGGAGCTCTTGGGCCAAATCGCCATCAGCGCTCACCCTAGACGGGCAAGGCTGAGGAATCCCTCGGTAGACGAGGCTGCAATTTTTTTTATAAAAAGAAGTAAAAAAGAAATGTGACAGTGTTGTGGGTATTGTCAACGTCACCAGCTCGGAGCCGGATCAAACGTTTCTTGTACTTATACAGCAGTTTTACAGGTGTCGTGTGCCTCTTCAGGTTCTTGTTGATTCATGATCCACTAGGTGTTTCGGAGATTTCTATACGTAAATTCTCCCAACGCATTCTAGTATGTTCCTTCTATGCTGCGGCCGCCTCAGGTCCCTTCTGGGACTTGAGCTTCTCCTCGAACTTGGCAAATTCTTGAATAGCAATTTCCTCCTCTTGGTCGAGAATCTGCTCCACAGACTTGACCTCCTCGATCTACAAGTGGTGGCGTTAGCATGCAGGTAACCAGAGGGAGGGGGGGGGGCCTTAGCAACGTACGTAGTGCATCAGCATGCTCTCGATGCCGTTCTTCAACGTAACGGTGCTCGAGTCGCACGTCCGACACGCACCGCGGAGCTTCAGCAGCACGGTGCCCTCGTCCGTGAACCCGCGGAACTCGATGTCGCCGCCGTCCTCTTGGATGGCGGGCCGTATCCTCGTCTCGAGGAGCTCCTTGATCATACCGACGACCTCGCTGTCGTTCTCGTCGTAGGCGAGACTGTCGGGCTCCTCGGGGGGGCCATCGGCAGCCGCGCCGCCGCCGCCCTCCTTGGCCGCCGAAACGGTGACGATGGTCTGGCCTGAGGTGATTGCCTCGGTGATGAGGGCAAAGATCTCGGGGCGGATATGCGCCCAGTTTGCGTCGGGGCTCTTGTTGACGGTGATAAAGTCCGCGCCGTAAAAGACGGAGGTGACGCCGTCAATGTTCATGAGCTGGGCGGCGAGCGGGGAGGGATAAGGCGGTGCGATGGTCGAGCGCGGGTTGAGGTACTCGATGAAGGGGGTGGAGAGGGTGTCGGGGAGGATGCGGTGGTTCGGGAGGAACTTGACGGCGTCCGGGTTTGGCGTGTTTTCGGTCTGGATGAAGATTGTGCGGACGGCGCCGTTGCGGCCGGCGAAGGGTGATTGTCGTTGACGTTGAGATGTGCTGCTTCGGGGCAGGCGGTTCTGTTGGAGGAGGCCGGCGGCGGCGGTGGGGGAGGTGTGGACGCTGGCGAAGGATCGCGATTGCTGCTGGAGAGAGGTGGAAGATCTGGTGGCGGGCCTCGATATGCGCGCGACGGCGCGAAGGGCCGTCCTTGTCGCTCTATACGATGACATTGTGGCTACGGTATGTGTTCGACCGTCGGGTCTGCCGTCGCTGTCTTTTCAATCCGTCGTTCGTCGTTGTCGTCGTTGTCGACTGTGGCAACGATGTTGGTGGGTTCACGTGGTGGGTTGTCTAAAAAGCGAAAGAAGGATTGTAGTGGTGTAGAGGAAGATGAAATGTCGAAATGTTGATTATTCAGAAGTACAAATTTACAACGATACCTCTCTGGTCTTTCACCTCGGCATTACATCCGATGACGGTCAAACCGGGACCTTTTCTTTTCGGGCAAATTACAGCGCGAGGAAATGGTTGACAAAAACTGGAAAGCTTCCACTTTTCTTCTCAATTCCGAGGCGTTGCATTACCAATCATGGGGGCCTCTGCGTCAATTGGTCAGTTGGGGGCAATATGTTTTCAATGGGCCCGCTCGGCCACATTACCAGTGTGCCGGGGGGTTTTGGACAGCTGCCCTGGTAAGAATGACGCAGAAACGCGGGCACGCATTCACCCCTCGGGTTGGTCCGTGGAATTCCAGCAAGCAAGCAGCATGAGGTACCTGGTAAGGTACCTAGGTACGGATAGAGAGCTCGGGCAGCTAAGGTAATTTTTGGCGGTCAACGGGCTTCACCGCCCGCTTTTGGAGAGGGGTTCTGTGGAGGGAAAGCCCCGCTGGAAAGTCGACAAACAGCTCAAACTGACAGACAGCGGCAGAAAAAAAAAGTTTCGAAAAAGGCCCAAAGCAGAGAAGTCCCCCAACCACCCCCCAAGTTCCCAACTGGCAGAAAAGGAAGAAAACAGAAAACACGCGGGGTCCGTTTGTATCATACAAAAAAAGAAAGGAAAACAAAGACCACGACGTTGATATTCATCCTCGAGCACTACCTAGAACCACAAAAAGGCTTTGAACGTTTTATATGCGCTATCCTTGTCTTCCGTTAGCACTCTACTTACTTTTAAGGAGGGAGTCGCAGCAACCTTGACATCGACTTACCTACTACGAAACGGGATTTATAGTGCAGACGACGATTGACCTTGCAACAAACGACCTCTACGACAGGTCGTTTTCGAAAAAAGCAACATCGATAACACTCTCCTCCAAACCACCACTCCTTGCCTCCCCCTTTTCGACAGCGAACGTGATCGCGGCGACTTACTCCCACCAACTGTCCAGAGTCCCTCCACCCCTTTTGAAGCTCCAAACAGACGACGATCACCAGCCAGTCAGCCAGCCTACCCTCCTAGGCTTACCTCTGCGAAGATGTCGGTCCCAGACGACGCCTCCCACCACCACAACCCCGACAACGGTCCTCCCATATCCCCCAAACGCGCCGCACACGACGACATCGACAAGCTGGCCGCCGAAGACCAGGCCCCCGCCTCGAAACGGTCCCGCGCCGTGAGCCACTCGGCCTCAGACGACGGCGACGACGACGGCGAGGCAAAGACGCGGGCTACTACGGCCGCGATGGCGAACGCTTCCCTGACGGCGGGCGAGGGCGAAAGGGACGTCGGTGACGGGGCACCAGCAGCCGCGGCGCAAACGACACAGCCCGCCGCAGGAGCGCCAGACGAGACACCAGAGACGACACAGCCCGCGCCGGCACCCAAGACCAAGATGTGTGGGGTGTGCAACGAAAAGGAGGGCAAATATAAGTGCTCCCGCTGCGCATTACCCTTGTACGTACTTCACAGACGTGCCAAGTGTAACGTCATGCTATTTCTTGCGAGGATTCGTTCTTCATTAGACGTTTTGTTCGTAATATACATTATCTTTACTGACTTGCGCCCTGTCCGCGGGCTACTCATCCCAGCTGCTCCGTCCCGTGTAACAAAACGCACCGCGAGAACCACCCGCCCGACCTCGCACCGGCGGCAAAACCGCCCAGCGCCAACCTCGAGCCTCCGCCAACAAACGCGCCGAGCGCCGCCGCAGCCCGCGACCCAAGAAACCCCTTCAGTGTTCTCGACGACTCGGACCAGCTCCGGTACCTCTTCCGGCGGTACCCGACGCTGCAGGCGCGGTTGCTCGAGATCTTCGCCGCCACGGAGCCGCCGCCCGAGATGCAGTCCACGGGAAGCAGCCTCAATGACATGATGAAGGCGCGGGCGATGGCGGCCGCGAACCCGAAGAAGGAGCAGTGGACGCACGACGTCGGGATCCGCAAAGGGAAAGAGGCGCTGCGTAGGGCCAGGGCCGCCGACGGCGAGGACGGCGAGGGCGTGAGGGAGTACGTCGAGCTCATCAACCACCTCATGTCGCAGGCGAGTGCGGTGGCGGAGGCCGAGGAGTTGATTCGGAAACAGGCGGCTGAAAAGGATGCCGAGCTGATTAGACGCCTCATGACGGAGGACCGCGGGTGAGGGCGTTTAGTTTTGGATTAAGCAAGAGCGCCTGCGTGTATAATGCAGCGGCCCTGTGTAGGGCAAAGGCTTACACACACACGTTCTACCGAGTGTGTTGTAAATCCATTGTGTATGCATAGATGGTATCGATTATCAGGTAAGGGTCTCTCATAACTCCCTTGGCAAGTTTTCAGACTCAGTGGTTGACTTTGAACCGCGCAAAGAATCCGCTCTTGGGCGACCTCAGGGCAGTGTCGGACGGTGGGCTGTTATCCCGGGAGTGGTTTTCTTCCCGCCCGTGTCTGGCAAAGGCCCCGAGCTTGTGCTTCAGTGCCCAGATGGAATCCGCTTTGCGCAGCGACGGCTTGGTCTTTGGCGGCGGTTGCGCCTCGTCACTCTGAGTCCAGTCCACGCGGTGCTCATACGGATTGTGATCCGTCGCCTCGGGATTATCATATTGATACGGCGAAGAGGCACCAGACTCAAAAGGAATAAGGATGTCGCCGGTAGTCGCCCGCCTGGCTGATCTTGTGTGATCCGTCTCACCGGACCGTCCAACGCCCAGCGGTCCCTCGATGGTGTGCCTATGGGAGTTGCGGTCGCGGTGCGCGCGGGTGTTGCTCAGCTCAGCCATTTCCGGGATCTGGTCGTGGGTCACAGGGGCGCGGTCTTGGCGCCTCTCGCGGTGGCCCTGAGCAAGTCTGAGGGCCGTCCTTGACAGCTTGCGGACGAGACCCTTGCTGTCAGACGTATTCTCGGTCGTTGTTGTGCGTGAGAATTGCGTGGCAGCGAACTGCGGGATAAAAGGATGCCTGTCACCGTCAGAGCCTTTGCGTTTTGATGAAGAGTCCTTTCGGCCAGACTTGGAGCTGCGGCTGTCCCCGTCGGACGTCTTGGATTTTGGCCGGATGGAGCTGCTAGAGTCGACTGTCTCTTTCGTCGGCTTGGCGACTGGCGGCGCAGTTCTTGACATAGTGGACTGGCCAGGCTTGAGTGACCCTTGATCGAGGTATTCTCTGGCCAAGCTCGTATGCTGTGGGTGGGCATCCTGTAGCCCGTTGAGAATCGGAACTGGCGCCGCCGGCAATGATGGCGCGGCGCCCTCTGCTCTGGCTCTCTTCCTCTTCTCAGCATAAAGCTTCTGATCGGCAAGGACCTTGACAAGCTTTTGAGATAGCTCCTCGGGGTCGAAGGGCATGGGCTGTGAGCACCGCTGTCTTGGCCGAGGAGGAGCGATTGGCTTGACGGATTGGGCCGTCGCTGCCGTCGGCTGGTCACGAGGGTAGCTCATATTGTATAACATTGTCGATCGCTGGCGGGAAACTATTCCACTAGTACTTCGGGCCAAGATCTCAATTGAGGATGTAACTCGTGAAAATAAGACCACCGTAGTGAAGGGTAAATGTTTGCTGTGTGCACAACCTGCTCGTGTGAACAGGTCGTAGGCGTAAAAACCGTTTCCGAACCGAGGGCGCCCTTATATTTGGATGGAGATGCCCTAATAGTAACTGGATGAAGTGAGAACGCGGGGGTGGGTTGATCGTCAGAGCAAGTCGGATCGGGTAGTTAAGGTTGTTTGTTTCCTGGCAGGGGTAGGCATGTAGGTAACATTCGCTGCCAAAGTGGCTTCCTTTGACGTGACCGCCGGTCGAATGCGCCCGTTTGAGAGAAAGATGACGAGAGTCTCCAGCAGAAAAATGATTGCCCTTGGAATAAATAACGGTCTCGGGGGCCTGGGTTATGTATCTGTCATACGACCGAGACGCAGGAACCGGGCAAGCAAGCACACGCGCGCTCATCCAAGGTCAAGCGAGCGAATGCACCACCGTCTGGACCAAGGCAGGTGAAGTGGGTCAGAGAGCTTCTCCTTCGCGGCCAGGGTCCTGTCGTTCTGTCGGCTGTTGGGAACGTCCAAGGCGCTGGGCCCGCGTTTTGGGCTGTGGTGTGTGCGTACGTGCCTGAGTGCGGTTGGAGGTAATGGGTGAGGTCGGCGAGGTGGGAGAGGTATGCAAAAGGTTGATTAAACAGAGACAGTGGACAGAGACAAGAGACAAGAGACAGCAGAGACAGAGGATGAAGAGAGATGTGTCGGTGGTGTGCGTCGTTAGTCCCGCAGGGTCCCAGACAATATGTACCTCACGGGGACAAACTTCAGACCTGCCACCAAGCGTACTAATTCCTCTCTCTTCTCCGTAAGGGCGTGGGCTGACGGAGAGACAGAGAATGGGACGGGAGACCGATCTGGCTGAACTCGGACGACTGACGGGGTTGGTGGTTGGCACAGGAAGGATGGAGAGACAACACACTTTACTTTGCGTCGTGTGTGTATATGTCTGTCTGTGTGCCTTGTGGGAGAAATGCGAGGGCGATCTAGCGAGAGAACGAGGGAAGAGATGAGAGACAGGAAAGGGCTGAAGAGTCAAGAGAGAGTGAGAGAGAGGGCTTGTGAAGGGTGTGGGAAGGCGAAGAATTAAAAACCACAAGGGGGGTTCACGGATGTATGTCTTGGTGGACACGAGTGTTCCATAGGTTGCATTTTTAGATAAAATGTTGGCTTGAAGGTCTGTCTGGTTCTGGTTTGGTTCTGGTCCGGTGTGGATGGATGGGAATGAATGGATGGGGTTGGATTGCAGACCATTTGCAACCATTTGCACCTATTTGCAGAGCAAGGGGAAAGTATCCCGTCCCCTGAGACCCCAAAGGCATGTGTGAACGGCTTACGGCTTGACGATGCTGGGAAAGGCTCACTTTCCACTTTCCAGTTTGGAGCCTTTTGGGATTGGAGTTAAAGCAGGTGGGGGTTGGGAAATGCAACTGCCTCCATCACGCCTCACGCATCACGCCTATTTGGACTGGCTCCAGGTACCAGCCTTCAAAAGGTCCCTCGCCTTACCTTGCTGAGATGTAAGACGGGGAACTGGACCTTTCACCTGCCCACCTTACCTTGCCTTACCTCACTAGTAACCTTACCTCACGGAGTTGTATCTTGCCTTGAGCGGCGGGGATGAGGGCTCGGGGCAGTCTCTGAGGGTGCCACTTTGCCTACTTTCTTTGCGCTGGCCGGCACGCGGCACATGGGACAAGCTATCAAATCTGCTTATCACCAGACCCTTTTTTTTATTTTTTTTGTTATTCTTCATTTTTCATTTCCATTTCCATGTCTCTTTCCCTTTCCCTCTTTCCTTCCTTCTCTCGGCGGCACCAATCAACCCTACGATAGCCGACTTTTCCGTACTAGGTCAATGTGATTTTATTAAATCTCGGCCTAGCGTGTGGGCGAGTAAGGGCGCATGAACTGGGTGCTGGGAGACCACCACGAACGACCCGGACCATTCCTAAATCGACCAAGATCGTGACCTGTAAAGAAAACATACCCGAAAAAAAAAAAAAAGGGTGACAGGGGAGGGAAGAACTGAGGAGGGGAAAAAATAAGGTAGCATGGCCGTGATGCTTCAGCCTACCCTTTGGATGAACCGGCCGGACCAAGGCGGTATGGCTCGATATGTTAGACGCCTTGTTTGGTCACCCGAGTTACACCGGACCAGTGCACTGATCGGGTGCCGCTTTGGGACTGTCTGCCGGGGCGTTCGCACGCCTTAACCAACACCACACACACGGAGCCTGTGGTGAGCTTCTTGCAAGTGTCATGACTAGAGGCTAGAAGCAACAAGTCTGTCTGCACGGGAGAGGAAGGGGTAAAAGGGGGATGAGACTAGTTTCCTGACAAGCTCGATATGCATGGCTCAATGTGCGGCGCACAACCGAGGAGGACGTAGTCTGAGCCGTGGGTTGAGGTTATTGGTGTCGAGTGGGTGGGTGTAGAGGTGATGCCACGTTCCTTCGGGTCACCATCTCCGCCCAGTCTCGCGTCCCCCAGTCTCCCCCAGCTTTCCAGCCCCATACAAGGACTAAGTTTCCGTAGTTCGACAGACGAGAAGGTCGATGGCGCCGTCTGAAGCCTCAAAATATCCCAGCCATCGGGCAGGATGAGGTTGGCCTTTGGGCTCGCTCCGTGTCTTGAAACCACAATCAAACCACGGCTGGTAAGCAACCAAGAAGACGGAGAAAAAACAATGGAAAAGCAAGAATAAAAGATGAATAAACAAGGAAGATCGGCGACTCTCGGCAGTAAGAGATGGCGAGACGGTTAGCGAGCGAACAAACGCTGCAGACGCAAACGAAGCCGGAACCCTCGACTCTCCAGGGAGATAGTTATTGGACTATATTACCAGAGTTTGTCAGTCCCATTGGACATGATCAGCCAATGGTCCGCCAAGCGTCGTCTTATCTCTCAATGCTCCTGCAAAAGATGCTGGATTCGGCCATGGCGCGATCCCTCAATGGGTGCACCCAGTGAACAGAACAACGGCATTCCACCCCTAGGCTCTAGACTCTGACCAACAGAGCACAATTGTCTCGGTTGATGGTAGCACTGCCGGCCTTGGTGAGGCATTCTGCTTGCCGTCTGAACAAACTGGCAAAGCACTCCAAGACGGTATTGTTGCTTCTCTCTCTCTCTCTCTCTCTCTCTCTGTGTGTGCATTGGGTTCCCCGTTCTCACGGCAATCCGTTCATCGCAAAAGCGCGGCTCCCGACACAGCGCGGTCTCTATGCAAAACACGACATGTAACTCTCGGCGAGGCATCGTGAGAGAGAGCTGCCGCAATGGTGGTGCCCACTTGTGCAGCTTGCTGCATGCCTGCATGTCTTGCCCTCGTATCGCCCTCCATGTAACCCTACGCTGGGTTTTACGAAGGGTTGTCTCGCCATATCATGCGCCTGGGCGATGCAGCCACGCATCCATCGTGTATGTTGCTGGGCGGCACCCTGAACTGCCGCGCACGAACCCCACAAGCTAGTCCATTACTTGTATTCGTAATAGGCACAGAAGTCGTTCTGCGCGAATTTCCGGAGGGAATTCGGAGCCGAGCCGGGCCATGCGTGTGTTTTGGGACCTGGACATACTTTTACCACCAAGAGCGATAAGTCGAGTCCTCGAGCACGATATGTAACTCAACTCTTTTGAAGTTTGCCAGTCATACAGGAATGCTGACCGGGGCCATGGCATTCCAGCTTGTGATGCTTTTGAATAGTAGTGGCCCAAATAGCTAGGCGAGGCGGGCACTGTTTGCCAGACGCCGCCGCCACCGTCAAGCCGTGGCTGGAATCTTCAGCCTATTGGCAAGGCCAATGCCACAATCGGCCCGCGAATCGGCCATGTGGTTCTCCCGCTGCAGACCTGGAAAAGCAAGAAAGACAACAAGATGGGCAAAATAGAGCGAGCGCCATCGTGTTGTTCTGACTTGGGGACGGGTAGCTGACGGGATCGTGAAGACATCGAGCGAATGCCCCAGTATTGCCGTTAGCTAATGCTGGGGGAATCTGGACCTGACAATAAGTGAAATAGCATTCGATGGAGGCAACTGTACCTGTTTAGGCGCACGAACGTGGCCCAAGACAAGGGTCCTCCAGTGGAGAGATGCCAAGAACGCGCCACAAAGTAGTCAACGACGTTATTTCCACCACGATCCGTGTTAGTGCCGCTTGCTGATCCTTCATGTCGGAAAGTCGGGTGATGAGATGCTTCCATCTTGAGGCAGAAGAAGGGGTCAAGTAGCGCGTCGTGTATATGCGAAGGGGGTGTGATTGAAGTTGAAGACATCAGTGCCGTCCGTCTTCTCGACATAGTCATCCTTGAGAGGGGGATGAAGGGATGACCAGACAATCACTCAGCGAACCGTGCCCGATTTTTTGACAGAAGTTTATTTGAACCAGGGCCCGATAGTTCGAATTGAGGCCGGTGCGTCGTCAGACGCCCAGGGCGTTTGGACGTGATGCACGTAGATGCCGTACAGAAATGTCTCCGTCGTGAAGTGGGCGGGATACCTGATGGAATAGATAGCGCATCCTATACATAATGCAGCCCAGGCCGGTGGAGTGTCAAGACCAGATCTGTGTGCCAATGCCGACCAACACTGACTGGCAACCTTCCGGGTCCCGAGCTACTGGAACAGTGGAAAGCCTCAGGATCAATGCCGGGATCATGGCCCTGGAGAAAACACCTCGGAATGCCGCTTGACCCATGGCCGAAGCCCGGAATGCTCTTTTCGTTCGCTTGGTCCATGCAAAGCTGGAAATGGGTAATACTAACATGGACAGAAGAATCAACAGCGGCATGCTTCGAGAACATGGCTTGATCGTGGCAGTCATAATCCTGTGGAATCTGCGAAGCCAGGCTGAAGCGAAATTGTGATGATTTGGGCGCCGGAGGATCATGGCACCAGCCGGTCTGCTTCATCTTGAGACATGGAAGGTTTCTGTACGCGCGCCAGTAGCATTGTTCTTGACAGAAGCTTGTTGGACACGAGTTTGGCCCTGCAGGAGTGACCCATGGCGAGCTTGATGAGAGGTGGGTACGTCATTAGTGAGTTGACATTGGGTTTCGGCCAAAGTGAGTTTGCGGCTTAAAAAGGTAGATTGTCCGGACAAGTGCAGCCTGCCTTCTGAGGAGAGGGAGGAGAAGCGGAAGACCAAGTCTCGGAGTACCGAGACATGTTCGTCTGGGGTTCGAGTCTTGAGAGTTTACAGACCGCCAGTTGGTGATGTTGGTCGCAATGAGGACGCTGGAGCCGGAGCCGGAGCCGGAGTCGACCCCGGGCGACATGGCCCTCGAACTTAGATTTGACTTGAATTTTGGTTGGTAACGGCCTACTCGGTGCAAGGGAAGGAATCAATGACGGTAAGGCAGGTCGGCCGTTGGGTGGGGTGGGATTGACAAGCAGCAATTACAGAGAGCTAAGGTGCCTTTGGCGCATCGACGCCACCCAGGGTACAATACCCACTCTGCACTTGGGAAGACAGGCCGCCCCAGTTCGCAGCCAAAGGTCCACCTCAATGGAGCAACAAGGGCCCGTATCCATTAAGTAGGGAGTACGAAGAACTTTGTGCTATGGTTTGGGCTCGCACCGCATCCACCGAGAAAGGTAGTACCTGCTTGCCTGCCTCCCTGCACTTTACACATTGGAGCCACTGAGGGTCTCGAGATATCTTGAATGGGGAGGAAGGATGAATGCAGCGGCGGTGACCAATCATTCAGCAGAAAGAGAGTTCGAGCGTTCCGTGGACGTCAAAGAGGGTCCAGTGTTGCCAACGTTTGCAGGTCTTGATTGGACGGTATGCACCCGGGCCAGATGGGCTTGGGATCCACTCACGTGCCACTCTACGCGGTGCCGGGGCCCGAGCTTCCTTACTCCACAGTGTTGCTTCCTGAGGTGGTCCAGAAATGGAAGTATCCGTGTCCATACGGAGTACCTTGGGCCTGAGGTAAGATACCTAGGTATTTGTCGGAAGAGCACAGGGCGCAATGGAACATCCCTTGTCCCTTTCTCCGCTTTCCTTGTCGCTCCCGTCCACTTCCACTTTCAATTCCACGTCCATGTCCAGTCCCATCCCGTACGTGCGTAGTACACCCGTTTCTGTCCTGAACCTGCTAAGCCATCTGCTGCATTTCCCACCCGAGGAACGGTTACGCCCATTTACCTTTGCACTCTTATCTTCGACGTCTCCGCCTTGCTAAACCAGCGAACTTGTTCGCACCTTTTATTTCAGAGGTGAGCTAGAGTAGGCAGTCCAATGTCCTTGGGTCAAACTCCAGTATCTTGCTCCGGAATATCGCCCCCCAACGGCTCGTCTTTCGGTCAGCGGTCCTGATCGTCGCGGCCCCTTCCCGCTCTCCCGTTACCTAGTCTCCCAGTCGTCTCCTGACGCTTCTTTCCCCTCCTCCTCCACCACCACCCCTATCCATTCCCTCATTTTACTTGGACAGGTCCGGCCCAATTCAATCCAGCCTAAGGTAGGATTCAACCATCCACAGGTCTTTAGGTACGTACGCAGGCAGCAAACCGATCAACCCCCGGCCCCCTTCCAGAAGCAGAGGGACAGGAAGGATATGTTGTGCTACAAACCGAAGGTGCCATTGTCGTTGGTGTCGTCCTGGTTTGGTTTGATCTTGAACCCCCCCTAGGCAACGCTAAGGAACAAACCCCCCATCATCATCCGGCCAGGTTGGCAGAATTCCAATCGCAATCGCAATCGCCCCAAGCTCGGCCCTGCACCGCATGCGCCGCGTCAACTGCCCCCCTTCCTGAATTTCCCCTCTGGAGCTTGGAAGGGGCCGGAGCCCTTGGCTTGGATCCGCGACTGACCTCATTTGCTGTGTGTCTAGCATCGTCGACGAACGCTGCTCCTCCCATCCAAGCCCGTCACTTCTCACAAGCCCGACATCTGCGCACCGGTGGAGCTCCTAGCGAGGGGGAAAAAATAAACAAACCAGGCCCCTTTTTCGAACCCCTGGTCTGCCGCACCACGAAGCTCGATCCTGTCCCATCCTATCCGTACGCGCTATTCAGACGCACCCAGTACCTGACGGATACTCTTTGTA